CCCCCCCCCCCCCCCCCCCCCTTCAGATTGCAGAAGAGTGAGAGTGGGACTGATATGATGAAAGCTAAAACGAGAGAAGAGGTTAAAGGATAGAGAAAAAAGGAAATTGTTGCAGAAAAGAATTGGTCAACACGAATCAAAACACAGGGAACATCACAACTTCAGCCTTTCCCCATTGCTGGCTTAAGTTCACCCATCATTGGACGCCCATTTCCCATCGCCTTGGATGAAAGTTATGACGTTTCAAAGGTAGGCGATGGAACTGAAACATTTTGGAGCTACAAAGATAGTTATGGCGACCTGTCGGAGGCTCCGGGATAAAAGGAGAGAGAGTAATTATCCTCATCAGCAAGAACAAATCATACGAAAATGGTTTTATTTTCGTAATTATATTTCAATCAGAAAATTTAGATCGAACGAAAATGGTTGTATTTTGCGTTTCTTGTTTCTTTTTTGTCTCTTCATCTTGATAAAATGGAGTGTGTAATAATATTAATAAGTAATTTGGAGTAGTAAAAAACAAATGTTAACCGGGAATAGTTTGAATTATAGCAAGTAAAAAAAAAATTACAAAAGAATTCTTACCAACATCCATGGCATTAACAACCCCCACAAACAACCCTAAACACAATAAAGCCACACAATCTATCTCTACTTACTACTACTACTACCCACAATAACAACAGGAAATTGAGGAGATTCCCATTTCCTAAATTCAATATTCAAGGGAACTGAAACTTCATACGATCTTGTACCCCAGATGGAGGACTAATGTAGACCCATAGCAGCGAAATTATGATCGATAGAAGCCCCGACCATACATAGACTATCGTCGGGACTCGGCCGCGGCGCCCCATCAGCCCTTTGGCAAATGGGTAGAGATGACACAGAACCCAGAAGCTGAAGAACACTCCCCCCACAAGCTTGCTCCATTCTGGAAATGGACTGTACAATGTCTTTGCAACTCCCACTGCAATGGCTATCATGTTCACCAGCATGATTGTGATCGGAGGGATCATCAGAAAGCTCCACTTCACGACGTATAGGTCTGCGAATTCGTCATCTCCGTCCTCCGGTGTGGCTGACTTGGATGTCAATGTGAATGAGATATCTACTCCTGCTATGACTTTCAGCAGGCCTTGTAGCACGGCGGCTGGGTGGGCGCTTGTCCCGCCAATTAGCCAGAATTGTTCGTTTCGCCACCAATCATGGATTGTAATGCCCGACCACTTAATCTCGAGGATGGCGAGTAAGCACAATGTGATTGTGATGGCTAGTAGGAAGATTAGGAATGTCACACTGAGGGATTGGACTATGAACTGCCCTGAAAACAGAGAAACTGCAGGCAAGAAGCAGTAGACAAGGAGGAAGAAGGAAGTGAAAGGGTACATCCCAACATTGAAGTATGCTACTCTTTGCAAGAACTTCATTCTACGCGTTGCGAACAAGGCGTTGTTCCTCGAGAAAAAGATCTCGACCGATCCCGTGGCCCATCGGAGCACTTGGTGAAGCCTGTCAGTCAAGTTGATCGGAGCTGTGCCTCGAAAAGCATCGCGCTTGGTAACACAATACACTGATCTCCAACCTCTGTTGTGCATTCTATAACCAGTTACCACATCCTCTGTTACAGAGCCATAGATCCATCCTACTCTTTTCCCCCACTCTGTCTTGTCTTCATAGAAGCAGGAAATAACACTGATCGCCTCAGCAACGGTGGCGGCGTCTAAAGGTTCCCGGGGCACGGCAAGAGAACCTGCCGGTCGACCCTGATTGCCCTTGCTTTGTAGTTCTTGAAGCAATCTTCCCTGAAACTCTGCAACCGGAATTGATGCAGCCAGAGAAGTAGAGTTTCCGAATCGCTTCGGCATAAGCAAGGACTCAATGTCTGCATCATCGTCGTCATAATCTAGACTGCCTCCATTGATCGGAGCAGCCATCTCATCGTCTTCCTTCTTTGATACCCTCGACTTTCTTAGTAACAGCTTACTTTTTCGAGTACCAAACCAGCCATGGTGCTCTGTAGCTCTAGGAGGACTAAACCCATACAAAGCTGTCCTCCTGAATATGCAGCCAGTCCCCACGTACATAGGCCCCTGCAACCCATCAAGAGCTCTCATACTAACATCAAAAAACACAGTATTATGATTCGCATACCGATCATTCGGGTCAATCCCCTCGAATCTTTGCGGGAACTGAACATAACAAATCCGATCGCCACCCCTGTCTAGCATAAAACACATCCCCTCTCGTAGAGCCAGGGAGTTGTATATGTAGTGATCACAGTCGAGATTGAGAATGAAAGGCCCATTCGACATGATTGCGCTGGTACGAACAAGAGCATTCATCGCTCCCGCTTTCTTGTTGTGATCGTACCTCGGCCGCTTCTCACGAGACACATAAACTAGCATTGGCAATCTGATGTCCACCTCTGTTGTGTCAATCAAATTCTCCCCATCTGCTTTTGAACCATAAACTGGTTCTGCATTAGAAGGAGCTAGCATAGCCTGCAACAAGTAAAAGATGAACAAAACATCTTAGCTTTCCTTTCGAGTTTTTGCAAACCGTTCTTCCATATATCAAACAACTTACCTGAATTATACCAGCATGATCTCCTCTTGAATGATCAGTATCAGCTGATACCCAAGTTCCAGGCCAGTAAGAGCCATCGGACATCCAAGTTGCCTTAGAGATCTTGATTTGTTCTGAAGGATTGCTACCCATTTCCATTTGCTTCATTTTGGCTCTAAGTTCTTCATGGGCATTATAAGCATCTGATCTTCTCCTTATAGACTCTGGCAATGAGTTTATCCTCACCTTGAATTCATCATACTCTCTCTTCACCATTCTCCTCTCTCTAACAAAATCAAGCCTCACTTTGTTCTTAAGAAAGTCACGCTTCTGTCCGAAGTAAGCCTCGGGATTCCTCGGCTCGATTCCGTGCTTTCGACAGAACGGAACCCACACTCTTGCAAAGCTGGCTGTCTCAGCTAATGCTTCGAATGTCAGGAGAGAACCACCATCATCTGATAAGTAACAAGCCAGTTTCTCCACAGGGTAATCCACAGCAAGGATTGAGAGAATTGTGTTGGCTGTCACAAGAGGTGGTTCTTTCTCAGGATCCGCTGTCGATACAAACACGTCAATTCCTGGAAGATCGGATCGACCCTTCGGGTTTCGAAGATTCGGCGACTCAAATCGATCCTTGAGAACAGAGAGGTCGGTTACTCTGTTTACAGGACAGAGCTTTGGAAGTTGATCTAATAGCCAAGATAATGCAAACCAGAGCTCACAAGTAATGGACATTCCCCATAGCCACATTGCTTCATGATTTGGATGTCTAACTCTCCATGTTAGAAAGAATCCAAGTGCTACTAGACGGATTATAATAAGCAATCTGCCAATAGAAACAGAACCCTTTAGAAACAGAGCACAATAAATCAAACATCATAAGTTCAAATCAATACAAAATCACCTGTATGGGCTTATAATGGCAGCAGAAACAGAGACTTTCCGGGTTAAGGGCCGCCGACTTTTCACCCCAAAGTCAGGTGGCTGCTCGAAACCATTCGCCCCAGAGCTGAACCCGTAGCCGTCCTTCGGCCACACTGCATTTCCATAGCCATATGTCCCCTTGGTCTCGAAAAGCCACCGGGCATGATCGAAGTCCGGTGGGTGATTCTGAGCTTTGAATGATTTCACCAAAGACAACCTTTTGTCAAACTTGGCATCCGCCATTGAAGGCAATGGCAAAGCTTGATCCTCTGCTTCATCATCACTAACACTTCTGTAACTCTCTTTACAACCAGGACAACGGCCATCGCCATGGCTAACACACTCCAAATAACAATCCCTACAAATGTTGAACCCACAATCACATGGAACCGTCGTCTTCCCTTTCAAAGCCTTTTCATCACAGCCTCTCATACCGCAAACAAGCCCCAATTTGATTGGCTCAGTCGGGTTCGCCAGCGACTCTATCACATGCCCACGAGTCACCGAATTGAAACCCCCAGTGAAAAGAGTACCAGAAATGAAGCTACTCTGCGGCTTCCCCATATTTGGATTTTCCTCAGGGAGGCTTGCTTGAGAGTCAGAAATTGACTGGTGATCTGGGGTTGGAGGAATATGAACAGTGTAAGTAACGAACTCCGAGTTACTTTCTTCAACCGCCTCATCTTTTGACATGGAAACGAACTTTCCGCCACTCGACCGGCGGTTTCCACCGCTAGAGACTCTGTTTCCTCTGCAACTAAGAGGGGAATTTGGGTTATTTGAAATCGAAGTACGCGAAATCGGACTTGTTAAGCCCATCGATATGATTCCATTGCCTGTTTTACTTCCAGATGAAATGGTTATCTTCACCGGAGAAGACGACGGAGAGGAATCCCTGTTCACCATTTTTTCAGTCAAAACGAACAATCAGAGCCTGTAAATTTTCCCGAGAAAACTACTATGACCCAGAAGAGAGACAGAAAAATCAAGGAGAAGGAAAATTGTTAAGAATCCATTGCAAGCTATGGCGGATTTGGAAGTGGGGAATGAAGAAGAAAGGACGCTTGTTCATGGGGGTTTTGAGGAAAATGAATGGCAGTTCATTCAACGGCAATATTTGCTTTAGATGATAAAAAGCAGAACATTGGGGTTTGGGGGAAAAAAGAGAATTTGAATTTTAACGGTCGAGAGATCTGGACCGTAGATTTGATGGGATCCTACGGGCCGTTCTGACCGAAACGGTCGAGTTGCTGGAAAGTAATAAAGTTTTTTTTTTTAAAAAAAAGAAAGGGCAGTAAAGTCAAAGAAGATTTAGAAGTATTTAAAAAAGATTTTATATTTTTTTGAATTTAAAAATGCATATAATAACGTCATGATTTAATGCAAGGGATATATTTTCAAAACTTGTGGGGCCCACTCAGATATTAAAAATCTGTCATGCATTTAAAATTTACATTATATTATATCGGTGTTTATTATCTTAAAATTCATTTCATCATTTTACTACCTTACTATCTTTTTTCCATGTTACTCTATGCAATATCTGATATGTGTATGATTTAGTGATTAATTAGATGATTAATTAATTACTTAATTAAAATA